ATAGGCTGACTTCCATACTTTTGGAATTGCATTTGAGGTGAGGGAGAGGTTAAAAAGAGTAGTAAGAGGAAGAGCAATCAAATCTGCAGCTATCTTTAAAAAGAAAGGTTCTACGTTGTCCGGGCCAGCCGGTTTTTTAGGATCTAGCTTAGATAAGTCTTCATGAACAACATTGACAGTAAAAGGAGTAAAACTGAAAGGGTTTTCCAGACCACATTGTTCAGAGTCACGGATTGGGGTGTTCACAGAAGCAGAGTTAGGAACAGAATCAAACATAGAACCGCAGGACACAAAATGCTCATTAAAGCAATTTAACATAGTGGCCCTGTCCGATATAGTGCCAGATGCTGTGGTAAGGCACGGAGGTAGCTCATTACGGATCTCACCGGTGGATATTGCACTTTTGACATTTGAAGTGAAGCTATTCCTTAGCTGCCTAAAACGCAGCCACTCTACCTCTGAGCCTGATTGCCTAGCCTTTGCCCAGGCCTTGTTTCTCTCATGAAGGAGACTAGACAGCTCAGCAGAAAACCAAGGATTGTCTCGTCCCTTTACTCTAAATGTACGCAGGGGTGCATGTCTATCAATGATCTCCATAAAACCAAGATAAAAATAAGACCATGCGGTTTCCACATCAGCACACAGATCGATTTTACCCCAATCAAACAGATCATGCACAAAACCCTGCTCAACAAAATGTTTTTTGTCTCTCTTAATGATAATGCGAGGTTTAACCTTTTGGACCTTAGTGTCCCTAATTGTGGCTACAACACAGTGATCGCTCAGATCATTTGCAAATACTCCCACAGATGAATATGTATGGGGAACATTAGTTAAAATGAGATCAATTAGGGAGGATTTATTAGGGGACTTAATATTTGGGCGAGTAGGACTGTCAACAATCTGAGTAACATTCAAAGAGATACAAAGGTTTTTAAAATCCTCTGACACTGCAGTTAACCAGTCCCAGTTAAAATCTCCAAGTAGCACTATTTCCTTGTAGTCTAGTTGTGATAAAAGATTTGCTAGTGAAGACAAGGAGTCTTTGACAGCTGAGGGGGGTCTGTAACAACTCACTACCATGACCTGTTGACCCTTTGCCACTTCTATATTTATGGCTAAAAATTCAAATTGCTTACTGATCGATTTGGAAACTAATGTGGTTACACTGAACTTATTCTTAACATAAATGGCAACGCCACCACCTTTATTAGGCCGGTCGGTACGATACACATTAAAACCATTTAAGGCAATGTCAGAGGCCAAAATAGATTTGTTTAGCCATGTTTCTGATAAGACAATGACGTCAGCGTCAGTCGATTTTGCCCAGATACGGACAAAATCTAGTTTACCTAACAGACTGCGCACATTCAAGTGGATGAAACCCAACCCAGACCTAGCTTTAAAATCAGCAGGAGTAGCGATCTGACTACTACTACTGGGCGGACCAGGGTTAGGTTGTACATTTCCTGACAGTAATAACAACAACAAAAACCAGGCATCTTTTCCTCTTAAACGACACAAATACATTGTCATCTAATTTAGAAACACCGGAAAAGTCTGCGGGAGTGTGATTAAAGCTTAAGAAGGAGTCCTGAAGAACCATCATCGCAGGAAAACAAAAAAGACAAACATATTTTGTCGAGCAGATTGACTGTGACAAGGCAACCGGTAATTGTTTGAGCAACACATCCGAACCTTTGCAGGGGATGCCCACTGCGGGTGGCAGAACAGACCTGAATCCAGTAGTCTTCTCAGAATGACTAGAGATCTTCTCATAGTCCAAAACAGTTAACAGGCACAGCAGAATCCCGATATGGGCCATTTTCCCAGACCAGCACACAGTCAGTCAAAATTAGTACAGCAGCAAAGGACAGGCGAAAACAGCAGCGTGGAAGCGCTCCGGTCCCTCCGTGGTATCCCCGGGGTGAAAGCAGGCCTCTGCAACAGCAGAACCAGGACAGGTGGAAAGCAGGCCCCAGCGGTGGTAAAATCCTCCTCCGCACAGCAGCACACGCCCGGTGGAAGCAGGCCAAGCCCGAAGCGTGGATCCACTCCGTCTCTCCGCGACGACTCCGGGGTAAAAACCTCTCCAGTACAGCCGCACTCCACAGGTGGGAGCAGGCCTCCGTAGGTCGCAGATCGCAGGCAGCAAACAGGTGGAGATGCTCCGTCTCTTCGCGACGAGCAGGCCTCCGTAAATCGCAGATCGCATGCAGCAACAGGTGGAGCCGCTCCGTCTCTTCGCGACGTCTCCGGAGGAAAAACACCTCAGTACAGCCGCACTCGACAGGTGGGAGTAGGCCTCCACAGTTCGCAGACAACTAAAACTACTACTTGTATAAGCAGGGATGGCTAAAAGTTTGTAAGCAGGAGAGCTAGATGCTGCTAGATGCTAACAGATGCCAGATGCTAACAGGTAAGTGTGAGCCTGTAGAAATTGCGACTGCCTCCAATGACAGCGTAGGTGTGAGTGACATAGTGTTAATTAAGCCGATGCCTTTCGGCCTGGTCATGTTTGGTGGCTGCTCCTTACGCTTAAGAATCATGCAATTACCAATAAGATGTCCAGGCTGATGACAATAGTGACACTCTCTCTCCTCTCTGTTCCTCGTGAATACTTTCGCTGGCTGACCAACAGGTGCCCCCGGCATGCGGCGAGAGTTCTCAGCAACAGCCGGAGAAAACACCGTTTTATGCATTAGCACATATTCGTCCGCCAGTACAGCAGCTGCGGAGAGAGAGTGCACTTTCTGGTCATTTATATGCCCCACAATACGGTCAGGCAATCCCCTCTTAAATTCCTCCATCAGGATTAATTCTTTCAAGGCAGAATACTCTGCAGCGTCACATGAATCAATCCACTTATTGAGCAACATCCCCTTCTCCCTGGCATACTCGACATGTGTTTGATTAGCCCCCTTTCTGTGATTCCTGAACTTCTGCCGATAAGCCTCGGGAACTAACTCGTACACCCTAAGTATGGCACGCTTCACCAGGTCATAATTTAGGCTGCCCTCTATTGAAAGCGCAGCAACCGCCTCCTGGGCTCTCCCGTGGAGTTTACACTGGATTAACAGAGCCCAGGGATCCTCCGGCCACTGTAACGCTGCTGCAATGCGCTCAAACGCACCGAAATACGCATCCACTTCATTCTCCCGGAAAATCGGCACTAGCGAAATGTTTTTCCCTACATTGAAGGCAGGTGGGTGAGAATAGGGCGAGGAACCTCCTCCGCCATGACCAGGAACACCGGACGCGCGCAGCTCGGAGTCTAGCTCCAGCTGTCGTATCCGCACTTCTGTCAATTTCTAACTTCCGGACTTCTTTGTCCATTTCCAACTTCCGGACTTCCTTGTCCATTTCCAACTTGCGTAATTCCAGCTGTAACTGCCTGGCTTTCTCCCTGTCGTCAGTTTCCCACCGAAGCTGCCGGTCCTTGGCTTCCAACTGGAGCCAGGCGAGACGTACCTTGAGTTTAGCCCCTTCCCGGGACTCTGTACTACCAACAGGAGAGGGTGGGCATCTGCGAGGCGGCGTGAGTGGTGCCTCCCACAGCTCGCCCCCCTCGCTGTCACCACCCCTTCCTTTAGTAAACGTAAACTCTGCCTCTGCCGGACGCAACAGGCCATCAGTGGGAACTTCGGACATGGGTAGCTCAGCTGGTAGCCGGTACAAGTACCTCTCTTCGCACCATCTCATCCACCACCAACGCCTTCAATTCTTTTTTTAACATCTGCCGATTCACCACGAGACTGAAGTGCCGCGCTATCTCTATTAGGTCATCCTTCTTACGCCGGTCCAGCTGCTCATAGGACGGCCAGACCAAGAACGCCTCTATATCGAACGATGCCATACCTGGGTGTACCGCCCACACGTTCACAACGTTTTCAGCCACAATAAACCCACCTATAAACCCAGGAATTGATTTAAATGTATCCCGGATGAGTCCCCACGTGTTACGTCCCCTCTTGGCTAGGGGTACAAAAGGGAAACGACACGACCAGATTGGATTTGGTATATGTTACCGGTGGTTTTATTTGTAACGGCAACTGAGTAAATGATGTACACAAACAGCTTGGCCCAACAACGGGTCAATCTGTCACTATCTCACAACAGGGTCTCCAAAAGAGAGTTGCCCAGTACTATACAAAAGGAAAGGAATTACCTCACTTCTAAAGTGGAAACAAAACAATAACAAAACGGGACTGTGGGAAAACACAGCTGGTGCGGGTCTACAGGTGCTAATCACCTGGATCTAAGCAGTATACACACACACAAACCCTATACTAACACAGAACCCGACGACACGCTGCTAATCAGTGTGCTCGCCCAGAAACCCTACTGAATACACTGCTAATTAGTGTAGCTAACACCAAATGCACACGGCTAAACAGTCTCAGAAGTCACAGAACGAAGACAATGTCACAATGCGAGGGTTGAGGCGTCTGTCACACAATACAGAGCCTCCCGAATGGTATCCGTGCCCAGCCTTTATACTCCTCCCCCGGATGACGTGGCAGAAGCGGGCAGGGCTTGGGTGACGTCTGTCCAATCCCCGCGGATGCTGCGAGGTCGAGACGGCCACTGACAGCATAGGAACTGCCCAGCTCATTTGCATACAAACAGAGTTAAGGGCACAAGGTAGCAGCGGCTGTAACAAACACCAAAGTGCTGGTCTATTAAAAATAGAAGTTCAAACTAAAAGTAGGCCTTCATTTTTCTTTGTGGTTCTTTTTCCCCCTTACATGTCCGTACAAAAAGCTACTGCCAAGTCTTAATTAGCGCTGTAAGGATTAGTTGTTATCAATAAGGTGATGTGCAAAACCACTATTTTGATAATCAATTAATCCTTTCAGTATGTTTTTTCAAGCCTGGAAATGGAAATATGATATAAATTAGGGGTCCATATTGTGTCCTTTTCGGTTTAGCGGGGATAAAATAAAACACACTTTTCGATGATGACTGCGAGTGAGAACGAGGAAGTTGTTCAGGAAAGATTTGACATAGAAAAATCCTTTATTTCAACTGTTCATCAAACATAAAAATAACTAGAGTGCCAGACTCCACACTTCGATTGAAATGTATAACAAAAAATACATTACATGTGTATCTTTTCAAACGTGTTCTAACAGCCTGTATAATGTGCTTGAGTTATGCAGAAATCATACTACAATTGGCAGTTTGATTGAAAATATTGATCGGTAAACACTCTTCAATAAAAAGAGTAACAGTGCAGTGGACGGGTCGGGCATTTCATTACCATGTTAAAAAAAAGTAGGCACACATCATACTGTCCTTTTCAAATGATAGTTGTTTGATGAGCTTAATGCTCAACACTGGCTGTGTCCAGTTGCCAATAAATGATCAATAAAACGCTATAAAATGATAGAGGAGCCTCAAATTGTATGACTCTCAAATGCTTGATGACTAAAGAGACATGCGTTACACTTAATGCTTCTTTATACATAATGCAAGTTTAGTGCATGATTTAGCCGTAACATATCTTAGTCCCTTCCTTCAAAAACACTTTGAAACTTGCCTTTTAAAGATGAAACTAAACCAATATGAAGCAGACATCATTGAGATACCTTTACATGCTGCTTCAAAGGTCAACTGAATTTGAGGTGTACAAGATGTTGTTGTATGAGGTTTGTTTTGGTAAAGTAACCACATAAGCAACTTTTTTGAGAATAATAACCTTATTATATACTCCAGAAAATAAATACTAAATATATTTTAGATTCAGTATACTAGTGTGAAACCACGTAGAATATATCTTATCAAAGCTTAAAGAAACTGGCATTCAAAATCAGAATAGAGAATAAACCTGTATCTTAGTCGAAATGCTAAATCAATGAACTTAAAGCTTTTGTTCTGATACAGCCAAACTCCACTTAAAACCGCTCATACAAAGTGTGTATTATTATCTTAAGATGAAAAATAAGATTGGCCAAGTTTATCCTGGGGAAAAAAAACATGTTGAATTTCTAATCAGGATATTCAGTTACAGAGCAAATGGTTTTCCCTTTACTTATTTTGAAGTAAATGGAATTAAATGGAACATTACAGTGTTCTTTTAGAAGAGGGTGTGGTTAGTTTAGTTTGAAAAGACCACAAATAAAAAAGGCAAAAACAACAATATTTCAACTTTACCTTTAACTTAATGTGTGACTGTTATCACGATTTGAAACAAATTGTAAAAAAGAATCCAGTAAAAAAGAATCAGTAAAGTAAAACTAGATATCAGTCCAAGTGACAGAACAGACGGGAGGTTTCATTTAAACCGATAATGCTTGACATTGTTTGGTTCCTCTGTGCAGGGATTAAGTCATTAGCCGGCTCCAAATAAGATAGGAGCAACGGAGGTACAAACAAAAAGGAAAACATTTAGTGCAAAATATCAGGAACACAGATTGATCCTTACTGCCATGAGACCGTACTTAACAAATAATGTATTTAGAAAACGAAAAGCTCTTCAATCTTCTGCTTTAGCTTCTGTCAAGTATTTCTTTATAAATCATATTGACCTATATATTAAACTAATTTGTAGGGCTGCCCCCAAATAGTCGATTAATTAAGTCTTAATCGAGCAATTTTTAATTAGTCGAGTAGTTGAAAAAAAAGCTCCATATCAGCCGGAAACCCTCAGACTTCATTCAGAGCGGAGCCTGGTCATTCAGGTAGTTAGCGACCTGACTAATTAAAAATTGCTCGATTAAGACTTAATTAATCGACTATTTGGGGCAGCCCTACGAATTAGTTTAAAATTGCAGGACATCTAAAGTGTGGATCTTTCTGAGCGAGTCAAGGAAGATATTTTCCGTGTTTCCGTTTCCTCTGTAGTGTGTATTGGGTTATATTCAGATACGAATAATATCTTTAATATTATAATTAATAATTAGTCGATTCGCTACACACTCACTTATTCTACATGTAGTTTCAGGTGCAGCTTCAGGATGCTCATCTGATTGAAAACCTTCCCACATATGTTGCAGCTGAAGGATTGCTCTGTGACGCTTTGACACGGGTGTCTCTGGAACAGACTGAAACTATGAAAGCTCTGCCCACAACTGGAGCATATAAAGCAGTTTTGTCTGGTCGTGTCTCCATCTGAGATATTAAACTCAAACACACCTCCCTCCTGAGTCCTGTCCCTCACGGCTGTGTACTCACTCACAGCCTCTTGATCAACGTGTTGATCCTGCAGCTCTGGAACTAAAGGCATGTTAGTGTTCCTTGAATGCATCATTGAATACTGATCATTGTGCATCATCTCTCCCTTCTCTTTGTCACCTAGAAAAGGCAGGTCACTGACTTGTGGTGTGTATTCCTGCTGCTCAGGACTGAGGTGATACGTGTCACACACAGTTTGTTCCTCATCACTGCTCTGCTCCATCCCAGATGTCCACAGCTGGCTCTGCTCCGTTGCTCCGGTGCTGTTGTGACTCAGAGGGTGATAATCCTCCCCGTTGGGCTCCAGCTTCACCGTCACCGTTTGCTCTCCGGCTGCCTCTCTGTACGTGATGGTCGGCTCCTGTTCCTCTGGTTCTGCTGGGCCGGTTCTTGGTTCTGTGAGGTTCTTCAGCGTCTGATTGTCCGGCATCGTGAGCATCAGGTGATGTGGCTCCAGCATATCTGAGCTCTCCCCTTTTCAGGAAAAAGAAAAAGCAGAATAATGTAATTAGAAAATCGTTTATGAAAGATAATTGCTTTCTTTTGCTTTTATCTGCAGCAGTGGTACCGGTGTAAATATCTACCTGCAATGTATTTTTTTTAATATAAATGGGTTTCATAATTTTTAAGACAGTTACGGCTCCGAATACAATGAAAATGAAATACTTAATTTTTTAAATGGATCACCTGTATAACATTTTGAGGTAGTCAATGTTTTGGTCACTGACTGTTTTGCTTTTTGTCCAAAATGCCAGATGTGAATATTTACTGATCTTCCCTATTATATTATTTATTTATTAGCTAAAGCTTTGTTGTTTATTGATATCAGACAATGACACTACAGATTATTCAATTATTAATTAAATATTTCGTTTTGTTATTGCATTCATTTGTATAGTACTGCATCATGTCTGTATCATCTTTTGTTTCATTTGTATTTTCTTTGGTTTTACACGCTCGGAAAAAAAATAACCTAAATATTAGGAATGTATATACATGTGTTTTCTTCAATGATAAACTAAATCTAAACAATTTGCATTTGAATGTGTGTTGGTGCAAACAAGCAGATTTAATATAGTAACTTGGAATTAAGAAGAATTCCAGAAAATAAAAAGTGTGTCTGAAGTCTGACAATTTATGCATTATGAAAAAATACAAAGGTACGTTTTACTATTAACTAAAGACAACGATAAAGCCTTTAAATACTTTTGGCAAACCTCTTACCGTTCCTGTGCGTCTTCATGTGGCCCTTCAGGCTGCTCTTCTGATTGAAGCACCTCCCGCAGATCTGGCACCCGTACGGCTTCTCCCCGGTGTGAATCCGTAAATGTCTGTCAAGATGGCCGACGCGCTCGAAGTCCTTCCCGCAGAACGAGCAGACGAAGCACTTCTTTGGTTTGATCACCTGAAACAGCCGGCTTCCTCTCTGGTGATTCAGCGCGGCTCCATGCATCCCTCCTTCCCCTGGAATCATGAGCGAGTCTGAGGAGGCGTAAGGTGTTTGGGACACCATGTTGTTCTTGAGCTCTCCGTACGGCTTCGCTGGAAAGGAGAAGGAGCTGCAAGACGCCTCGACGGGTGGAGGCAGTAACTGAGCTAACCCCGGGAAGGAAGTCATGCTGTGATACTCCGAGCTGCTGATCTCTGCGCTGCTGGACATCCACTGCTGGCTCTCCCTCTCAAAAGCTGAGACGTTCTCACTGAGCTCGTCTCCTCCTTCCCTCATCCTCTCGTTTCCTCCATGAAGAAACAGTGTTTGTGCTGTGTGCTCCTCTGCAGGCTCACATTTGACAGGTGTTGTGAGAATGTCCTCGTTCTTAGGTAGGACATCTGCAGCTTTCACCTGGATCTCCTCTTTGGTTTGAAGAGGATCAGCACATGGGTTCACCACAGGAATCTGCTTCTGTTCCTTCACATCGATCTCCTCTGGTGTCGGCTGAATACCTGGTGAAGTGAGAAGAAGTCAACATGCGCACGTTTTGCTTCCACATCTAAAAATTCAAGCTTTTCAACATTGCGGTTACACATTTTCAAATTTGATGTGCAAATGTTACAGCATGAGGGTCATGCAAAGGTTGCTATCCAAATGTAATAGTTTATTCACACCAACACCCCTTATATTTATAAAAACGTCCTAATTTGATATCACTTTTATGAAGAGTACAACGATGCATAGACTCAAATACTACGACGTTTTTAAAAATGGATTTCCTGCTGTTCTCCAAAATGATCTGATCTTAATTCACATTGAAATAACTATAACTTTGTATAGACCAAACGATGAATTGATAAACAGAGACAATAGTCTGCAGATTTAAGGATCATGAATATAATCTTCAGTTAAAGCCGTGGATATATAAACCAGCCATTTGTTTCTGTCTGAGGTTCGCTATGAACTTTCCTGAGCCAATTACAACACTCCTGTCTTACTGTTCGGTTAAACTGAGTGACCCCTGTAATTATTATCCAATGCGTTTTCCCTGGGAAGCAAAGACAGAGCTGTCAGCGAGTAACTCTTCACTCTGCTCTCGCCTAAACCTCAGAGTGTTTCTCTGCTCGCTGTGACACAGAGGAATGTCACAGCCAGAGACTTCCTGCTGTGAACTGAACCAAAACATGAGTCTAAAATAACACACAAATACAACATGAGGCTAATGTGTCGGAGAGGTTTGGAGGAACGTCAATTTAAGGGATGCAACCATTGCTTCTCCACTTCAATTTCTAAGGTCAGCCACAAATATTTTGACTGTTATTCAACCTCCCAGGGAAGCATCAGACCAAGTCTTTATGTAATATAGACTTTCAAATATTTAAATAAGTCTTCTATTCCCATTTGAACCACGTACGATCCTAAAATAAATGTTCAATAGGTTTTTCAAGACAATATTGTATTTAGTGCAAACACTCTTTTTAGATAACAACTCTTTTTGTACCTAATATTTTAATTGAACTATTCATATCGTACACTGCACTGTAACTTTTATTATATATGTATATATTTATACCTGTGTTATTCAATTCAAGCTTGTTTTGTTTATTTTATTCGCTTTTTAATGACGGTTTATTAAATGCCATTTTATAATGTGTTTCATGTCTAAATGCTCTTGTTGTTTTTCTTGTTTGTAAAGTACTTTGAATTGCCTTGTGTTGAAAGGTGCTATATAAATTAACTTGCTTTGCCTTAATCTTTAGATAACATTTCTGTCACTATTTTAGGGTGTTGGGAAACGGAAAGACTTGTTGATTTTCCCTGCAACATTAGCCAAGACAACCAGGTATTCTCCTCACATCTCCTGTGGATCTTCATGTGCTCCTTCAGGCTGCACTTCTGGTTGAACCTCCTCCCGCAGACCTCACAGTGGTACGGTTTCTCGCCCGTGTGAATCCTCTTGTGTCTCTCCAGGTGTCCCGACCGCTCAAAGTTTTTCCCGCAGTACGAGCAGATGAAGCCTTTCTTGAGTACCGTCCTCTTCCCCGTCCTCCTCCTCATGGTGTTGAACGAGTTTCGATACTGACCGTAACTCTGCAGCCCGCGGAGGAACGGGCTCTGCTGAAACCCCCCCGAGCTGCTGCTGCCGGGCGCCACAGAAGATCCGGGGATACACGGTAAGGAGTTTAAATAATGGGAGTTGTTGCATCCTGTTTGTGTTGTCGGCCGCCACTGTGCACTGTCCCTTTCAAACACAGCTGGTTCTCCTTTCAGAGGCTCAGGATGTCCTCCAGCTCCTTCATTTACTGGTTCACATTTCACCTGCACCACCTCAGGTGAAGACGGGCTGTTCTGGTCCTTATGAGCGTTCCCCTGTTCAAGCAACGTCCTCTCATCACCAGTGGTATGATGACTGTCTGTGGAAAGGCAAAAAAAGATTCAGAACAGTATGAGTTTTAAAGAGGTAGGTCAAATTGTTTGCAACTTATATATATATATATATCAATATTTCAATTACTTGTATATAGGCTATTCTGCACTAGTTCTACTATATTCTATTGTATTTACTTGCACTATTGTATCCGTTTTATTGTCATTTATAAACGGTGCGTACGCACAAAAGATGGCGTACGCACAAAAGATGGCGTACGCCAGTTTCTACACACTGTTTGCGATTTATAAAAAACTGACTTGACGGGAAAACGTGCGGTCCTCCACGCAAACTCTGACCCATGCGTACGCACTAAGCACAACAACGGGAGAGACGAGAAACTGCGACACCGTTGGCAGAAGGAAGAATGGAGAGAAATATGTGGAAATAATACCATGAATAAAACGTTACCTCTCATTTATCATATATGAAGAATTCATTTTCAAACATTGATTAAAGCCAATCTTAAAATGATTTAACAAACGCCTGTTTGAGACTCCTCAGTGCACACAAAAACATAACTTGGGGAAATAAATAAATACGGAAATGTTATTGATCACCCCTTGATTATGTTCTCTTGTTAAGAAATGTATTCTCATAAATGATGCGGTAAACAGAAGGACAGAATTACTTTAAACTGACGCCGTTGTGCATTTCTATAGGTTGTATAGATACGAGCATGGTTTTATATACCATCATGTTTAATCGTGTTTTATGCCGTTCGCCAATACTTGATAAGTCGCTCGTAAAACACAGGCGGTATGGAAACTAAGAACACCATATGTGGTCAATTGTACAGCTCATATAACAACACATTAGTTGTATTTCCTTCAACTGGTGGATTATGGATATATAGTTGCTGATCGACAGCTGGAACAGAAACCACCAAATACAAAAACATAATTCAGATCCAGTCGTCATGACTCCACTCCGGAGGGATTCCCCGATCATTTCTTACAGTTTCTCATCAAGAGGGGGGGTCTCCTGTCCCCGGTACAAACACACTGCCTGAGGAAGGCTTTGTGTATTTGTTTTGTCATTAACCTTTTTCGGACCACTTATTTATTTATTTTGGGGACGATCTGACCTCCATGCAGTGGCGGAGCTGGGGGGTGGCTGAATCCTGGCCACCCTATTGGCCACCCCAAACACCCTCACCACGGGGGCCCAAACTATTTTAGAATATTAAAAAAAAAAATGTAGTAACCTTTCATCATTCATCAATAATTAACATTAATATAACGTTATATTGATAATGTATTGATTTTCCCACATATTTAAGTTATATTTATTTGGATTGATGCATTCGTGTTGAGAATGTTCCATTCAAAAACGTTATTATTAAAAAGGCATTTACACCATAAAAGATGACTATTGAGATCTATTGTCAGGAATGTTAGTCTTGATGGCCAGAGGGGAGGACCTATAAACACATTTACTTCCCAATAGCATTGTGAGGCTGAACAAAAGGACCTTTTTTTTTTTACTATGTAGTCTTTTTAAAAAACTAAAACATTTACTGACTTTTGGATAGCTTAAAGTAATGTTGTACAATTACAACCGGGGGCCTTACAGGGTTAAGGGCTATTGTTTATTGTTATTTACTTTAAGATGTTATTCTTAACCAATCATTTAATTAAAAAAACTCTTATTTAAATGATGTGTGTGTGCCTCTGTATTCCTGATGATACACTGAGAGAATGAGCTCATAGGGCTGCTGATCACCATAAGCTAAACAGTCTATATATTGCACTACATTTGTATAATGTAAGCTTTGTTGTTACTTCCTGTGGGAATAAGAAAAAAATAGTTGAATATTATTTGATCTATTCCACCACTTAATCCCAAATAATGTAGAGGTGTGTTGTAGGTGCCTTAAACCAGGGGTTCCCAAAGTGGGGGTCGCCAGATGATTCAAAATAAAAAAATAAAAAAGTATTGTTATTATTATTATCCAGTGTTTCCCACATAATTTGATTCTATTTGGCACCGCACCGCACCGCACCCCCCATGCAAATGAGCCATAAACTCATTAAATATGCGCATATTTTAATACTTTCAGGAACACAAATCTGAAATTCTTGTTTCATTTTGTAGTCATATTAGAATCTAAAGTTTTTACAGAAGGGATTTTGGATATCTCTTTTTATCACTCCATAAATCAGAAAATACTGTCAACAGCCCTAAAATATCCATTTTCGCCATGTTTTTAGGTATACAATGTTGTATAATTCAGGCTATGAATGATATATGAACAAACCCTTCAGTAAAACCTTCAGAATGTTGATAGGAATATAACTGGAAGGTTTGGTGTATGTACGTGCTACTGAAGTGGACATTTCTCACTCAGGAACTTGAGAAAACGACCTTTAAAGATTGCAGTGAGGCACTAGTTAAACCCTGCTGTTATTTGGATGACAGCTTGCGCATCGACGCACTCCGTGAAGGTATTTCGTGTTCGGGATCATTTGTTTTTTGTATAACCTTGCTTCGTGCAAGTGACAATTGTTGTGGTCTTCTCTGTGAACGTTTTTTTCGCTGTTCTTTTGCCATTTTGAGATTTAAATTTCCAGCGAAATCTAAACCAAGAAGTGTTTTTGAACACCACGTGACGCATCTGAACGAATCACGTTGTCAGAAATTGACACCAGCCAATGAGATTTCGTTTCTTGGTTTAAGACCCCTTTGTACTTTCACGATTGGTTGCTGATACAAAGGAAATTACTATATTTGGACCCGATGAGATTGTGCAGGAGAGACGGAGCTTTCGAACGATACCTCTGTTGACATGCTGCACACAGCGGTCGCGGTACTTTATGTTACGTTAGAATGCTAACTTTTGGTGAATTTAGGAGAAACCTACAGACGCAAATAGACAAACTATAGTAAAATAAACACTTAAATGTGTATTTTGTACAAAAACATGTTATGGAATCAAAATAGCACAACATATCAAAATTGACCAGTGCATGAAAAACGATGTTGTTGCCTGCCGTGTCTCGCCTTAATGAGTGAGACACACCAGAGTTGAGGATCGGTGTGTGTGTGTGTGTGTGTGTGTGTGTCCCTCCCGTTGACTATTCACGTGGAGGGGGGTCGCCAGTCTCTGTCACAGTGATTTTGGGGGTCGCGGGCTGAAAAGTTTGGGAACCCCTGCCTTAAATAACCCCTTATGTTCTAGTGAGATGTATTTTTATGTTCATATAATAGTGATTTCAATGCCACCCCAAAATGATCACTGGTTCCATCCTGGCCACCCCACTGAAAATGTCCTGGCTCCGCCACTGCCTCCATGCTGCTACTCTGGTTCAAACTGCATCCACCAAACAATATGATTTATCTCGACCTCCCCAAAATAACCAAAATCTGACACGGTGTGAGATGTCTTTTTTACCTGTTCTGTCGTCATTTCCTGCGATCTTCTTCATGCAGTCAGTCAAAATGAATGAATGGGCGTTTCTTTGACTATTTATAGGCAAATATGGGCGTTACGTGAAGCCCGCAAAAGCTGCGCCGCATTTCGAGTTGATTGTGATTTATAAATGGAAACCGGCGTAGGATGTGCCGTACGCAAGTCCTGTGCCGGTACGCAGTCTTTTATGAATCGGAAAGTGTCGGTGCGTATTTATTTGCTTTGTCCTACGTAGGCAACCTTCCCACACCAATCCTACGCGAGGCTTTATAAATGAGGCCCCTGGGCTCCGAAATGTTGTATTTTACCTGAGTATTTCAATGTTATGCTACTTTTACTTTTACTCCACTACAATTCAGAGGTAAGCCGTGTACTTTTACTCCTCTACATTTTATTACCTTTAGTTACTTTACAGATGTGGATTGTTGATGTGAAATATAATCAAGTCTTAAATCAGACTTTAGTTCCACCTGGAGTAAATTCACAAGCTACCCTGCAGTATACAAAGCCATTGAAACTAGCTGCACCTTTACCAGCTTTGAGAACACTTTCATGATCAATCATTATAAAACATATCATATATATTATTCTGAAATGGACCAATCTACAGAATGACTACTTTTACTTTTGGTGCTTTAAGTATATTTTGATGATAATACTTTTCTCCTTGAGTAACATTTTGATTGCAGGACTTTTACATGTAACATAATATTCCTACACTTTGGTACTTCGACCTTTACTTGAGTACAATATCTGAGTACTTCTCCCACCTCTTATCGCAGGCTAAAATCCACAGTGAATAAAGTGTGTTTTGTGTGATTTACCCTCTCCTCTCTGGGTGTCAGGTCTCTGGGTGTCTCCTCTCTGGGTGTCAGGTCTCTGGGTGTCTCCTCTCTGGGTGTCAGGTTTCTGGGTGTCTCCTCTCAGGGTGTCAGGTATCTGGGTGTCTCCTCTCAGGGTGTCAGCAGGTCTCAGGGTCACACTCCCCTGCAGGGTGTCATGTCTCTGGGTCACACTCCCCTGTAGGGTGTCATGTATTTGGGGCACACTCCCCTGCATGGTCCTCAGCTCGCTGTGCAGAACCTGGATGTTGCTCTTCAGCTTCTTGATCTCATTTTCTCGCTGACACATTTCCAGCCTCACCACCGCCATGTCATCCTCCACCACTTTGGAGATCTCTGCCACGGCTGCTTTGGACAAGGCATCGATTATGGAGGCAAGCTGAGCCCGAAGAGCAACGCTAGTAAACATTGTGATTTAAAAAGAAAACAAGCCGGCAAAGTGTCAGGGAAGCCTGAAGTTGAAACAAGAGAAGTGAGTGTAATTAGTTCGGGATGGCTAACCGAAACAGGCCATTTCTGAAGCAGATAACCGTATATAAACGACAGCTATTTAGGGTTTAAATGTGCAGCTAACAGCAGCAACTAATTGCTACAAAGAATAAACACAAGAGCTCGCTTTACGGAAGTGATGACATAAATACCGTAAAACCAGGCGGAGATGCGCAACGTATATTACCGAGGCACTTCCGAGGTCAGACACTTTTTTTTAAATCAACAAAAGTGTTAAAATACACACACACACTGAAATCAGGTTATTTCTTTCACTTGCTAGTCTATATCGTAAATGTTTAAAAATAGTATAATACAGGAAATAGCATCAGTTCCATACAAAGTAAATAAATGATAGTATTGTATGTTTCAGACTACTTTTATTAAAAATAATTTGAGAACCACTAACATACTTTTAAAAAGTTCCTTTATCTCCCAATAAAATATGATTTCCTTCAACCACACCCATTAACTCATAACATACAAATATAAACAAAGTATAACATATATAATAAATACATTCAAGGTACAAACATGGTACACAATCAAACACGTTTGGAAAAATAACCAGGCATATAATACTTAAACTCATATTTATATACTTATTTTATAAGTATTCTTTTAAAGAAAAAAATATATACATTTATTTTACATCAGGGTTAAAACACCTTCTAACACATCCAACTGAAGGCCTTTTGAATGTCCTTCAAGGCCCAATTCTCTGCGTACGCACCCAACATTGCATAGTTTGACACACAAATGAAGGTACAGACAATCTTTATGGAAGAAAATGTATAAGTGACTGCGAGGAGACACATGCCGACAGCAGGAAGAAGCCTATATACTAACGTTAAAGGTAGGGTAGGTAAGAATGGAGAAACCAGCTTGAGTGCGCTAGCATTTGAAAGTACACAACCGAAAAAAATCTGCCCCTTCCTTCAGACTTCCTCACAGAGCCCCTCCTCCAACACACACGAACGCGCACATGACCAATGAGGGCACGAGATAAGTTTGTGCACGAGATGGAAGGCTGACAGGCAGGTAGGCCATCCAGTTATCTGCCGCGGGCCGAGGCAGATAACTGGACATGCTTTGTACAGCGCCACGGCTTCCACAGATCACATTTTTTTATGCATTTATTGTCAAAGCATTTAATGTATTCATTGCTATCGGGATGTTAAAAGCATTCCATGGAATATAACAAAAAGTGTTTCTGAAGTGAATTACCTACCCCACCTTTAAGTGAAAGAAAACATATTTGTATCCTTGCACAAAATATACAAACTCAAGCATTTTCAATGTCTATTTAAAAAAACATCCCAGACCCAAATGTTCCTCTCAAGTTAACAATCTTTCAAGAATCTCAAGGAAGTGAAATGTATGTATATATAACAATCCTGCAGGGGAAAAAAAGAATTGAACTTTGAAGGCAACATTTAAAAAAATAAATGGGAACATTGACATTTAATGTACAAAAAAAGAAAATCTCTCAAAATGAATTTAATTTACGTTAATTTAAAACACAAATGGTTAATGCATAGGCACTCACCCACTCTCCTTCTACTATGAAACAGATGGAGTTTGGGCTTTAATGAATTTCATAACTACAAAAAGTGTGTTTAGGTTAGGTTGGGCAACATCATGAGTCTGCACCTAAACATATGCAGTACATTGTATAATTATAATGTTCCTCACCAATGACCACCCTGAAATGCAACATTTACATTTTATGTTTGTATAAAATGCATTAAAACTGTCAAAAGTACAAGATGTAAATTGTCTTCTGATCGCTATCTTCCTTGCAGGTGGATCTCTTGATGTATTTTGAGGTTGCCTAGCACCGTGAAGCTCTTCCCACACTGTCCGCAGCTGTAGGGCCGCAGCCCGCTGTGGAACCGCTCGTGTCTCATGCAGTTGTCCTGCCTCGAAAACATCTTGCCGCAGATCTTACAGCTGAACGGCCTCTCCCCCGTGTGCACGCTTTGGTGCGTCTTCAGCCGGGTCTTCTGGGTGAAAGATTTCCCGCATTCGAGGCACCGGTAGGGTTTAAACGTCTGGTGGGAGGCCATGTGCACCTCTAGCTGAGACTTGCGAGGGAAACCCCTGTTGCACACCGAGCAGATGAACAGTTTCTGATTCGTCCTCCAAACATTCATGAGCCTTTTTGCCCTTTGGTTGTTCACATTGAGGATGTGCCAGTCTGTGTTGGATCCTAATGTATCTGCTGGGTGTGACCTCTGTGCATGAGGCGGAGCTAGTGACGGCCCGGCATGTTGAGAAGCAGACTCCAAACACGGATCCTGACTGACTGCAGGATGTCTGAACTGCTCATTGTGAACAGCCGTACTTCCCATGCACATAGGTCGAGTCTCTACCTCTAATTTTATCGGCACATTTAAAGAACCACCTGCGATTTCCTGTGCTGCAGAAGCTGAAGAGTTATAGGAGCTTTCTGTGTTTCTGTGAGCAGCATATTGCTCAGTGTCAGGGGGGGAAATCTGCATGTTCTGCTGCATTGCAACGGAGCTTTTATCAAACATGCTGCAAGCAGGAGGAGGCCACATCATGTCATCTGGCTCTCGCGCCTCAAAGCAAATGTCTGCTGTTACAATGTGTTCTGCTTCCTGGGTGAAGGGTTCTTCTGCAGGCTCGTGTTTCACCGCTGGCTTCATGTCGTGGATCTCCTCTGTTACGTGTCCCGGCTGGCACAGAGAATGAGCAGACCGTGGGTTCAGATACACGCCACATGCTTCCTGATGTTCTTGTTGGTCTGAAACTGAAAGAAAGATTGCAGGTAGAATTTGACTCCACAAATGTAAGTCAACAGTAAAACTTGTGCAAATTGTGTATAAAACATCTGGATAGAAGCGCTGAAAAATACGTACATGCTTTTTACAAATCAAGATATCAAAACAAGTCTTTATACGTTGTTATTATATAAATGTTGGTGCATCTATAAAAGAAAAAAGATAAAGTTTGACACAAACATCACAACATTTCTTTTGATATTTGTATTAATCAAACAGATGCCCTTATCTCAAAAGTCAGTCATCGAACATCATTATCCAATATGTTGTACTTTGAGAATGGCAGTTTATAGACCAAATGAAAACACAATCTAAGATGTCTACTGAATTCCATGTTATATTCATATTATTCATTCATATGTTTATTTCATTTGAATATTTAGAGGACTCACTGCTCCATAGTTTCAGTTTCTCCCTCTCCATAACCACGAACAATTTGCACAACAGCTACCTTACACAACTACAATTTATATACTATCCTATATATTTATGTTGCTGTAGTATTGTAGTGTTTATTTTTAATTTATCCAGAATAATTTATATTGTTTTTTGATTGTGATAAATGTATTTTCAACTGTAGATATGTATATATGTGTGGTTTATGTTTATCTTAATTATATTATGTTTATACTTTATTCCACACCAGCCAGAACACACTGCTGCAACACAAGCATTTTTCAAATTTGGGATCAATAAAGTATCTATCCATCCATCTATCCATCTATCCATCTATCCATCTATCCATCTATCCATCTATCTATCCATCTATCCATCTATCTATCTATCTATCCATCTATCCATCTATCTATCTATCTATCCATCTATCTATCTATCTATCTATCTATCTATCTATCTATCTATCCATCTATCTATCTATCTATCCATCTATCTATCCATCTATCTATCTATCCATCTATCTATCTATCTATCTATCTATCCATCTATCTATCTATCTATCCATCTATCCATCTATCCATCTATCTATCTATCCATCTATCTACCTATCTATCTATCTATCTATCTATCTATCCATCTATCTATCTATCTATCCATCTATCCATCTATCTATATATCCATCTATCTATCTATCCATCTATCTATCTATCCATCTACCTACCTATCTATCTATATATCTATATATCTATCCATCTATCTATCTATCTATCTACCTACCTACCTACCCATCACTGTTGTTAAATCAAGATATCACAAAAATATTGTTATGATAGTAAACGTTATTATTTGTTGTTATTATATAAACGTTGATGCCTCTATAAAAGCAACACAAATACAGTTTGACACAAACATCTTTAAATGATATTGTGTACATTATATTATGCATGTATTTCTTACAATTTATTAATAAGTAATAGTCTACTTACTATATTCAAATATGAGATTCATATTCAAGCCGAATTTAACAGTATACCACATAAAGTCAATACCAATCATAATATATGATTTACCAAGCAATAACTATTGTTTATAGCAACACAAAACCAGAATATATGTTTTTGTGAATGCACTTTGGTGTGGAAGGTCTCTCCAGATGTTGCTCACCTGTTCTAAGGACCTGATTCCCGGCTGCTGTTTGCTTCTGTTTCTCTTCCATTATTGCCCGGATGTTGACTGCTTCTTGGGCTTTGCAGAGCTCCACCTCCATCAGCTTTAAAGTTCTCTTGAGCTCCTGGATCTCACTGTCCCTCCGACACATCTCCAGCCTCAACACAACACCCCCCTCCTCCACCAGCTTCGTTATTTCTGTGACTGCAGCCTTCGCCAACATATCCATGATGGCGGACACCTGCGAACCGAAAGAGGAGGGCAAAGACATCCTGCAGAGGGACGATAAACAGCAAGAAAAAGCAAATGTCAAGCTTTATTAAAAGAGCTGGGGCTTCTGCTGTTTGGCGAAGTACCTTTCCAGATGTTTTATTTTGGTTTACTTCCGGGAAAATGTCCAGGCGGATGTGACATAAATGGCAACTGTCGTAACTCTTCTAGTAAACGCGAACTACAAATCCTTTCAAATGTGTCTCTTCCTACTTCCTTAACAAACACGATTAAATAATAGCCTTGTAAAAATTGGTCAGGCACTGGATATTGAATATGTTCTGGTTAAGTGTATGATTCATCTTGTTGTTAAATATATACATAGAGAAACATTTAAATAAAAGGGACCATTATTAACTCGCATTGACTTTAAGGGTGCGTTCACACCTGCCTTGTATAGTCCGGTTGAATCGAACCCTGGTGCGTTTAGCCGCTTGGTGCGGTTCATTTGGGTCCGTGTGAACGCAGTCCGAGACATCTTAAGTGAACTAAACAACCGGACTCTGGTCCGCTAAAATAGGTGGTCTCGGAGCGCTTGCTTGCGAACTCTGGAGCGGTTCATTGCTGGTGTGAACGCAGTCCGCACCAAAACATAGGAAGCGCAGTATTTACGTGTCACAAGAACGCGGATATCTTCAAAAATCTTTAGCGAAAGAGTCTTTCAAGACATCCGCGGTTGTTTAGTTAAAGAGTAAAGCAGAATTAAGTGTTGCTGCTGTCAAATCCGTGTTTCAGTGCTGTACGATACCAGTCACCTCTGTGGAAACATTGGTATAACTGCCTTTTTTAATTTATATTTGAGTGTTGTATGTTTTTGTAATAATGGACCAAGAGTCTCTTTAAATAAAAGATGATGATGATGAGTGTCGTGTAATGTAACAATTCTCCGTCAGCTACATAAAAGTAAGAACACCTGTCGTCGGTGAAACGCCCCTCCTCTGCAGAACGTCTCATGTTACATGGCCACATTCTCAACAAAGTAACGACATGACTCCCAATATTAATTGAAATGCTTTTGTGGATTTAGAAAATGATTTTATTGATTTAAAAAATAGTTGTATGTATTGATTTAAATTGACATGCATCCGCTAAGAAAAATAGTCCGTTGTTACTGTTTGAACTAACGTAGCAACGGCAGGAACTGCTTCGATAGCATTTTTGAGGAGCTTTTTGATTACAGATTTGAAAACATCGTTGCTTGCTTTAAAAGTAGCACAATTCATGATGTCAAACCTTGGGAAGTATCTAGATATCCCTGCCCTAATGCCAAAGTAACTGCACACTGAATATGTGTCGCCGTCTGATGTCTATGTCTGGACCGCTGCGTAAAAAGGAGGGTTTCTGCCCGTTACTTCTCCGCTGTTTCCTTGTCGCTCTTGTCTTGTCAGTTAGTTTCAGCCAAACTGTATACAGTTAAATCGAACGGACTTATTTGTGCAGATGTGAGCGTCCTTAACAACGGTCAATAAATCCTTGACATCGGTCTGCTGTTCTGGATTAAAAACGTGTCACGTGTTTTGAATTGACCAATCAGAATCGAGTATTCAACAAAGCCATGTAATAATGTTTTTTAACGGACGTTGTCTGATTATATAATCATATGCGCGGGCCGCTAGTGTGTATTGATCTCCAGACTAACAGCAGCATGAGAATAACCTGCCGAAAGTGCCGATGCTCCATGGCGGAGTCTCCGCTAGAAATTGCCGGGATTTGCGTTTTTACCCCCTTAATGTCTGACCAATGGTTGAACAGCATTTCCGAGCACATGACTTGTGTTTAAAGTTTATAGTCCGTTTGAGTTTTGCCCGTGTGAACGCAAACCGAACCTTCTGAAAAATGAAACAATGGAACAAACTGTGGTCTGGTGCGCACCAGAGAGCGGACTATTAGGTGTGAACACACCCTAAAAATCCTAAACCAGAAAATAATTGTGAATTCAAAGTTTAATTTTGTAGCTATCTGGATCCTGAAACGTAGACATAGCCGCGCTATATATTTGTATATAAGTGTTTTACTTGAACCCTAAACCGGAATTATTTACCTAATAATACTACTAATAAATGACAATGTGATCTGAAGTTTTCTGCAGATGCAAGAAAATCCCTTTAATATATTAATCATACCTCGACTGTGCATTATTTAAATAAGTGACACTTTGAATAATAATAATGACAGACAGCATCTTAGAAACTATTATCTTTATTCACATAATCCCTAACAATGTATTTAGCAGACATTATAACTTTCACGAATTATACATTCACTCTTCCAAATGTACAATTTAACCATATACTTGCAAACCGTTCATTTACTCTATACAATGTATAATTGGACGACAACTGCAAACAAAGAGTGAGCTTTATTTATTCTCTGTCTTTTCTACTTCTACATTTTAACTAGATAAGCTGCAATGTTGTGCATGTAATATGTTAACGTGTTTCAGCAGCACAATTTTAATTTAATCTCTGTGTTTGCTTTTGACAATGTAATTACCTTTGTTGCATATCATCCCCATTTCTTAAAGTGGACCTATCACGCTATATTGGAAACATATATTGTAGGGCCATACCTATACAAAACATGTCTGTGAAGTTGTTTGCTTAAAATACCAAACAGATCACCCATTGTAGCCATGCCTCATACTGCTCATACCCCTCTTTTGCAGCCCTGTTAGAGAAACGCAGATTTTGGGTCCTTAGCTTGAAGAAGAAAAAAAAAGGAGGCGGAGCTAATGCCTGATCAGAATTCTACCGGAGATAAAGTTAAATTCTGTTGTGATAAAACGCCATCCTGTCTAAGCCACATCAAAGATTATTTCTGAAATAGTATGGAGCTCAAATGCTTTTTCTCTTGCGGGTTTATCACAAGGTGAGTTCCTTTTTTTATTTCCTGCTTTTTAAACACATGTACTCTACAGTACAGGTTAGCTCTGAGTGTTAGCGAGGCTTGCTAATGTAAACAAAGACGAGATTACATCCAAAAACACATCAGGCATTGTTTCTGATAGCAATTTTCTGTGGGTCCGCCGCCGATTTGACATCATATCGGCAGAAAATCTGTATCCGCTCGTTGTACCCCGTTTTTCAAAGGTTTGGGTACGGAGGAAAAGAGAGAGGGTTTTATTTTCTGACGCTGCGTGAGTTCCCCGACGCACCGGGGACACATTTATAAAAGACATCACAAAGTGCATTTTGCATGATAGGTCCCCTTTAACTCCCTGAAAATCCTCCTCTGAAAAATATCCTGTATATATTTCTAAAAACCTACAAGTTCCTGCCTGCCTATCAAGTGTGTGGTAGAAAAAACACAAAAACACCCTTAAGTAGCATTGCATCTGTGGCAATACCTCCACTCAAAATAATACAGCCATATATGCTACACGTAGAAAAATAGTTTGTACAGTGGAAACACAAAAGAGACAGACACTTTACTGGACCTCATTTCCCCAATCCTTCTGCCTCTCCTTCTCGCACTCTTTCTCTTTTCCTCGCCTTATGGTCGCAATAGCAACAGCCTCATCGAAACACATGCTGAGAGGACTGTTCCTACTTTCATCCCCTTCCATCCTCTTCTCCCTCTCTTGTGTTGTCTTCTCTCTTTTCTCTTCCTCTCCGTCTCCTGCACCGTCCTGCTCTGATGCGACTCTGGATGCGTTTTCTCTCTCTCTGTCGGCGTCTATTTTCTCTCTCTGCTGCTGCTGCTGCTGCTGCCGGATGTTCAGCGCAGTGAACCTGCAGTGCTGAGGCTTCGGAGGCACCACCGGCAACGCTTTCACTTGGTAAACCTTCGGATTTTTAGAGATGACAATCTTCCTTCCGACTCCTCCTAAGCTGCTGTCCCCTTCCTCACCCTTTCTGGCCTCTCGACTCGCCTCTACATCACACTTAAGCGCTTTTAGATGTTTATCTATGCATAGTTGCACTTGACGTTGCTCATCAGCTTTGTCATTGTTCTCTTTCGAAGTGACTTCTTCCCCGTCGTGATGCTGATCTTCGGCAGTGATGGCGTGCTTCCCTTGAATCCCTTCTTCTGGTTCACTTGTCTTCGGTACGTTTGTCTCTTCTTCCTCCATCTTTTGCTGCACTTCTGTGTCTGGGAGTTTTTCTTCAATCGTCTCCATTGATTCCTCAACTTCCTCTACTCTGACTTCTGTCTTGTTTGTCTCTACTTCCTCAACTTCCACCATTTCCTCTTCCTCTTCTTCAACATCTTCAGTCACATCCCCTTCCCCAGAAACACTCTCTCTGTCATCCTTCTCCTCCACCTGTGTACTCTCCTCATCCTCTATCCCTTCACATATAACATCCTCAAGTTCAGCCCATATTTTGCTGCTTGTCCTACAGACATCACTTTCTTGCTCTGTGTCACCTCCCTGCGGCTTCTCTTCAAGTATTTCCTCAACTTCATTGCCTTTCTCAGGGGTTCCTGCCACGATGTTCTGATCACTTTCTTTTATTTCCATTACTATATCTTCACCTTCACTCTCTATTTCTTTGAATACCTCTCGTTCCTCTCCCTCATCACTGTCTCTCTCCTTCGTTGGTGGATCTGTTAGTGAAAAGTCTCTGATCTCCTCTAAACAAGCTTCACCAGCTTCTTCCTGTGTGGCATTAACCACTTCATGACTAGGTGGAGAATCGCTGTGATGATTGTCCAACATGTCCGCCTCCTCCATAAAGTCCTCATCGATGGGCGGTGGAAAGTCGTAGCAGCAGTGAGAAAATGCTTCTGGAGTGAGAGTTTCTTCTTCGTCACTCTGAGAATCCTCCATGACTTCTTCCTCTGTGGCTTTGCTGCAGGGGAACGAGACAGAAACATTTCAGAAAGACATCATTGGCTTTGAACAACTGGCCAGTGTGTCTACTTTTAAATTATTGACTTTTTTATGCCAATACTTGCAGAATGACTTTATGATTGTATCATCTTTCAAATTATTTTTAGCAATACTAACAATTTCTACTAAAGTCAATCGTTTTTTAACCCAGTTATTTGTGTTTTATGATATTTCTGCAGATAGTAATTAATGTGTGTTTGACGGCTTATGAATTGAACTAAAATGTAAACAGTTACATAGTCTCGCCTTAAACTAGCATTAATGCATTTTGGGGGATTTTATTGCGTCTGGAGGAATTCCTAAATGTTCCCACACCACTCCGCTCCTCCGCTCCCTTCACTGGCTTCCGGTAACTGCTAGAATCCACTTCAAGACAATGGTACTTGCGTACCATGCTGCGAATGGATCTGGCCCTTCCTACATCCAGGACATGGTTAAACCGTACACCCCAGCACGTGCACTCCGCTCTGCATCAACCAAACGACTCGCTGCACCCTCGCTGCGAAGGGGACCCAAGTTCCCATCAGCAAAAACACGTGGGTTTGCTATCCTGGCTTCAAAATGGTGGAATGAGCTCCCCATTGACATCAGGACAGCAGATAGCTTACACACCTTCCGGGGCAGACTGAAAACTCATCTCTTTCGACTCCACTTCGAGCGATAGAATTACTAACAAAGCACTTATATACTAATAAAGGACTGGCTTATCTAAAGCCAGTTGAGTAGCACTTGAAATGTTTTAGCTCTATGAAACCTGATGTACTTTATGATTCTGTTTTCTTCAAGTTTGTATTTTGTTGGTCGAACGCACTTATTGTAAGTCGCTTTGGATAAAAGCGTCAGATAAATGTAATGTAAAATGTAATGTAATGTCTGAGGGATGGCGAAATAAACTGTAATTACAACTTTGACAAGTTATCACTTTAGAAATGCTAACTTACCAAACTGTTGTTACTTACACTAGTCTACAGTGGGTATAGCAGAACAAGTGTACCTGCATGAATTTACTAAAAGACACTAAAATGATGTATTATTATTATCTGAGGGTTCTTCACTACAAGCCACACCTTTTACATTACATGCAGTTATTTAACCTGTCGTTATTGAAAATTGGTCAAAGCAGCTTTAAAGTCGCATTCTTTGATAAATAATTGTTCACTATCGCCTATGACTGACAGAAATGCGTTATGGTGTTCAAATATAATTTAAAAAATCAGCTTCACCTTTGCCCGTTGTTTTCCAGATGGTCTCTTCCCTGATGATCTTCCTCTTGCTTCTCTGTCATCTCCTTTTCTTCCGGTCCATCTTTATCTCCTTCATCTTTCCCTTCTTCCTGCTCCAGACCCACAGCAGCTGATTCTTCACATGCAGGAAACCCAAAGCACAGAGACTGGGATCCTCTGTCAGCACAGCTCTGTGATTGGTGTTCAGGATCTCCATCACCAGCTTCCTGATTATCAGTGTTTCTTTCAAAGGTCAAATCGTTTAAAAAGAATTCAGCGGGGAGGCTCTTTACGAACATGCTCTCGTCTTCCTCACTGCTGTAATCATCGCTGTCGCACGCTGCTGCGTCCTCTTCAGAGCCGGAGTCCTCCAGCCTCAGGATGGGTGAGGTCAGGTAGGGCAGGCTGAGGGATTTAGTGTGTCGGGTGTACGAGTCGATGCTGAGCGGCCTCGTTGGTGTTAACTCTGTCTGGAGCTCTGAAGGATCCATGACTTCATACTCATCGTCCGAGTGACCGGGAGGCTCCACGGAGAACTCGTTCACCTGACAGGAACAACAAAAAACTGGATGAGGAAAGGACTTTGAGATACAAAACTTTCCCTTTATATATTTGTTCTAAATAGTATCTTTCTATATATATAAGAACTTTTGAAAGAACATCCATAACATTAATCTGTTTGCAACTTACAAATTATGTATCTAATGTATCATATTCCAATGACTTGTATATAGACTGTTCTTGCACTATTTTTTGCACGCATACCAAATCATGGCATCACATCACCCCAGTCCTCAAAGACCTCCACTGGCTTCCTGTCTCCCATCGCATCAACTACAAAGTTCTGGTCCTCACCTACAAAGCACTCCACCATCTGGCCCCCCCTTATCTCACAAACCTTCTCACTCCTTATCAACCCCCACGGTCCCTCAGATCCACCGCAGCCGGACTCCTATCCATTCCCACATCCACACTCTGCAGCTTTGGGGACAGAGCCTTCAGTGGCAGCTCCTAGGCTCTGGAACTCCCTCCCCCAAGATCTCCGTGACTCTGAGTCCCTCACAGTCTTTCAGTCCCGCCTCAAAACACATCTTTTCAACTCTGTCTACCCATAAGCCCCCCCCTCTCAATCAACTTCCTTTTGACTGCCTTTTTATTTTTTACTTACTTGTTTGCCTGTCCTTGTTTGTCTACCCTCCCTCATACTGTAAAGCGTCTTTGAGTTGCAAAAAGCGCTATATAAATAAAATGCATTATTATTATTTCTATTCTATTTTATTTGTATTTACTTGCACTATTTTATCTGTTTTATTGTGTTGCACTGTTGGAGGAGCCTGTGACCTAACATTTCATTGACATAACTACACTGTAGCGATGTACACATGACAATAAAAGCCTTGAATCTTGAATCTTGAAATCAGGTGTTTTCCACTGATGAAGATATTACAACATTAATATGTATTACATGTAACCTACTGAATGTCTGTGGGAACATCCCCAGTAAAAAATCTGTATATTTATGTATTCTTTATTAAAACAATCCTTATGCAAACCGAACATTTCGTATGACTGCAGCTTCACATTAGAAGCATTTAAATGGTGTCTGCTTTTATAATAAAGTAGTCCCAGGAAATGTAATTTGGTGATCAGTGAGCTTTACACTGATGCGTTGATCAACTATGTGTTGAAAAAACAAGACAATATCAGGCATTTTGGCAATTTTTTGATCAGTTTAAAATATTTAAGGCTCATTTGAACGGTCAGAAGTGTCGCAGGTTGCCTCTTCATCAAGGTAACCAACTACTACTGAGCTGTTTGCAGACTCGTGCATTATGCAGCACAGTGATTGGTTGCTCACAGAATGATGGAGAAAGACCAATTACTGCCAGACTTCTTCATTAAAACGATGGCATAGTTTTGGAGGACAACCTCAACGTTAGCATGGCCCTGGTTCCCTCGACAAAAGGTACTGGCATAGTGCCCTTAGAGTTTGGATAATGAGGTGACTTGGCTCACTGGATAACACATATTAATACTTACACGTTTTGTTCAGCAAGATATTCTTCACAAATGAATACCACTTTTATACAACAAAGAAAAAGTGCTCATGTTAACCCACCTGGTAGGACACACTGCAGTCCATGTGATCCATGTTGCAGTCCATTTGGTCCAGGAACTCAAAGTTATCTTGAACGTATCCGGACATCTCGTGGTGGTCCTCGTCCACTTGGTTTGAGTTGAGGACGTTAGCATCATCGAACACACAACCATCATCACGCTGAGTCACCGCCACATCTTTCATCTCTGTAAATGAAGCATGGGCTGAGATTACAATATAAGACTATTAATCATGTAGTATTAACATATGATACTCCTAGGGGTGTGTAATTGGTTAAATTACCCATGTATTCATCGAGGTCATCATCGACGGCGTTATCTTCCTCCGTGTTGGATGTCAGGCTTTTGGCTCGCAGCTCTTTGGACACAGCTTGGTCTTCCACCACCAGCTCCTCTTCCTCCTTCTCCTCTTCTTTCTTATCTTCATCCCTTCCACTTCCTATCACCATATCCCCTTCTGCTTCCATTACTTCCTCCACATCTCTCACTGTCACTTTCCCTCTATGACTTTTCTCCTCCTCCTCCTCAACTTTTTGTCTTTCTGCCACCTTCCTCTCCATTGCCTTGCTTTCCCTCCTCTCCACCTTCTCTCCTCCCTCCTTACCTTCCACCCTGTCCCCTCCTTCCTTATCCCTTCCTCTGTGGATGACACTGTCTCCGCCCCGTTGCAGCACCCCTAAAGCCAGGTTCGAGGTGATATGCAGGGGCACGGTCACCATGGTAGGCCCCGTGATGTGCATGGCGGCTCTCCGGCCCACTTTAGTGGAGAGTCCCGGGGATCTGGACAGTAGGGTCTCGTTTCCAGATAAACCTTCAGGGTCCAGGGAGGTGTAGGTGCCCTGCGTCCCCGCGCCCCCGCTCACCAGCCCTGTTCCTCTGCGGTAGGTCACGGCGTATTCACTCCCACCTATCGCTCCGGGGGAGGCAGGGACCTCAGAGGCAGGCTGCAGGGAGGGGGTGACGAGGGGAGACATGTGGGTGGAGGGAGGGCGCTGGCAGGGACGTCTGGAAGCTGGAATAAAGCAGACGGATAAGTGACATGTCTGTTTTAAAGTTCAATTTGATCCAAAATACGATTTCTCCAGATCACAAACAAGTATCTTCAAACAATCCTGCCTTAAAGGATTTGACCTCTCTATAACAAACCACCTCTGGCTGGCAGAGAACTCTCTGCTCCATAGTTTCTCTTGGACTTCAAATCTCACTGTACATTTGATATATTCAGTTTAATATGTAATATTCCATCCCTCATACTTATGTATATATAATAACTTGCTTTATATTTTGTTATTGTTTATTTGGAAATGTATATTTTCTACCTTCTTGTTTATTTCTAGTATTTTAAATGTGTATTGTAGAATGCCATGTCTTTTATACTGCTGCAACACAAACATTTCCCAAATTGGGATCAATAAAGTACTTCTTATCTTATCTTATCTTCTCTGCCTCTGTCTCTTTTTTTGTTTGGTGAGCATTACAACAAAATATATATAACATGGCATTTGAAAAAGTCAAGAAAGGTCTGTATGATTATAGTAATTCCAATGTTGACAGCATATTTTGCTGATGATTTGAAATATATATAATTATTTCCTCATCATTCTGACAGAAATTGGGAAATGTGTGATAACAGCAGTACCTTCGATTGGATAGGGCGGGTTGCTGAGCGAGTCCATGCTTCTGGCTGGTCTCAAAGCAGGCCTTTCTTTCTCTGAAACAAAACATTAATAACAAAAATAAATAATAAGTGGGGCTTTTAATACTAATTGAACATAATATTTTTACATTTGTATGTGTTTTTATATGTTATGTTTTATCATGTTTTTAATTATTGTTTTATTATTTGACTCCCATTGTGTTATTTGATATTGTATGTATTCCCTGTACAGCACTTTGGTCAACTTAGGTTGTTTTAAACGTGCTATATAAATAAATAAAGATTGAGATGTACCGCACCGGCCTAGGTTTGAATCCAACCTGAGGCCCTGAAATCTTTAAAAAGTGTAAGCTTCCTGTGTCAGACGCATGTTGTTATTAGAGAGTAATTTACCCAAGTACACATGTCAACTTGAATGAGACAGTTTAACATTTAAATACGTTATTGTAGAATATAGAGAACAAAAGAAAAATACATTGCAATTTCTTTTAAAAGGAAATCATCCAAGGTAAGAGACAACTACCAGGACTCAAAAACCACGATGAGGTTATTTACCTTTCGTTGAGAGTTTGTGCCTCCGTCGTGGGTCTTGAAATCGTCCTCCGATGTTGAAGATGGACATCCACTTCCTGCCTTTAAGAGAGCCTTTCCTCCTGAACGAAACACACAGAATACGTTTTAAATAATCAGTTTTCTAAGATTTAATTGCTCAACAAAACTTCAATCATATTAATCATGGAAGCAAACATGTCCATTTATTTTCTAAGTTTCACCACCGCACCTTTGACCTCTGTATTAAACATGTCCTTAACCAGATCAGACATAATAACTAAAAAGATAAATGAGTGTACTCACTTGTCGGTGCCTTCGATGATAGCGTGGTAGGGTCTCATGGGTAGAGGACCATCTCCTGGACTGATAGTACCAAAGTGAGGGACAGGCCCTTTGAAAAACCCTTCGTCCTGATTGGGCAATGCTGACGGCGAGGGGAGGGACTTCCTTCTCTCACTGGATACATCTGAATAGGGCAGGAATAAGTCAGTTATCCATTAGCTCTTATTGGTTCACAACTTCTGAATTGCCACCCTGAATGTCTGAGTTGTTCAGCATTTCCTAGAGAGAGTAAATGAAGTGGTGTGTCACCTTCTTCAGGAAACAGCTGAGGCACGTGTGTGAGGATGAACTCCACGACGATGGACTGAACCCTGACCTCCATGAAGGCCGCTGTACCGTTAAACCCAGACGCCTCGATGTCTTTTGACCTTAATATGGACATTGAGTGATTGAATGTGAAAAATGAATCTATGTTGTAAACAGATAGATAAATGAAAGGATGAATACATGCATTTTATCGAAAGGAGAAAAGGGAAAGGAATGAATGCATGGAAGGATAAAGACAGAAAACAGTTGTTATACAATCTTATAATATTATCAAACACATTATTTTATCCATCTATTACTTTAATGTCAATAATAAATGACACACACACCTTGTGTATTTATTCAAGCAGAGTCCGGACATATTGTGTCTCAACAGAAAATAAACAATACATATATTATGTCATATTATGTAATATATGCAAACCTGAGCAGATTAGGGGCCCAGACGATGGCCAAGTTCCTGGAGTGCATGTTGGTCTCTGAGCAAAATGAGGCCATTTTGACCAGATGGCGCATCAGAAACTGCAGAGTCCTGATGGCAAGGAAGCGAAGCGTTAAACTCAATTCATAAAAACACCCAAAAAAGCCTTCAAAAATGTGACTTGGGCTAAAAAATCTGTTTCTAAGTTGATGACATTGATACAACAACCAACATCCTATTGTACAGAGCCTCCAGGACAAACGGGGGTCTGATATATTCTGTGTATTTCTGTATGTATGATAAAAGATGGTATAATTCCCAACCAAAACACACACTTTCCTACCTGGCTTCCTATTGGTAGAGCTCTGAAAATCTGTGTAAGCAGGAAGTCGACAAACTCTAAACAAAGAGGCATGTGGATGTTCCTATTTTACCTAAATGATGTGGACTTCAAAACGTATATATACTACTAACTGGAAGTAAACAATAACAACGAAAGTCCCCACTTTGGTGTCGCCTGTTCCTCGTGGTAAAGATTAAAGACTGTTTAATGTAGTTTGCAGCAGAGCACAGTACCTGTGATGAGGTTCTGGTAGTTCTTTCAGAACATTTCTGATCTTCACCAGCCTCTCCTCCTCCAGCTGGAGGGCCACAGCCTCCTGGAACACACACATGTTTTCAAATCAAAAGTACAATTTATCGCCTTTACTCAACTTTAATTGCTGGGAAAATGGCACATAGGGAAATATGGGCATTGTGATTTATACATCCCATGCTTTCTTTGAAGGAGAGGTCATTTTTACGACTTTGTCCTTGTCTAAAAGACTAAATGAACACATCGGAAAGGGGGAAAGGAGTGTCAAATGTTTCTGAGCTACTCACAGCGAACTTGTCATACAGCTGGTATGTGAGCAGAGGGTTGGGCAGCTCTCTGAAATAAGCTTTAGTCAGAGAGCTGACACAGTGGATGTCCTGCAGGTACAGATCCTTGTTCAGATCTGGAATCCCGTCGCTCTCAAACTCGCCCCTGGTGGTACGCACACATACAGTCAGTTAGGAGAATATCAACACAACACACAAACCTAATTCAAACGTACACATTTACAGATATAGGTTCAAAGAGAGGCACACTGCTGCAAACACACACACACACACACACACACACACACACACACACATTACCTGAGTTTCTGTATGTTGGACGACACTCCAGACAGCCTGTAGATACCGTCCACGACGCCATGCTTCTCAACAAACTCACTGCAGCATTGCAAGACCTGAGGAACTGTGGGAAATGGTGGATTAACAAAATGAATATTGACATAAGATTGATTTTCAATGTGTTAACTTTGAACATACAAAGGGTCCTTTATGTTTTAAGTGACTATACTGTAGGTCACAAACACACAACACACTTTTATTCATGGACACCTAAGGAAGACCACGTGAGTGAAGAATGATGTACATGTAAAATCAAAGAAGCTTCAGGGAGGAGATAGCAATGGTATTTTATGGGTTTTTGCTGTTAAGGACAACGCTAAATCCACACTCCACATATATATAATCGACTCCTAAAATGAAATAAAATAACCTCACAAAGCTCACATCATTTCACCTATTGCATAACTGGTGTGGTTAATGCTGTGTGGTTTGAGTCTAACAAATAAATAATTAAAAACATTAGAAAAGCATAAGTCTTGTTTTGACGAGACACAAATCATTCATAAATGTTCTGAACAAGAAATTACTAGTAAAAAGTTGTCAACCATCATTCCTGTTGAACGCTTCTCTTACAAACTGTAGGTTGACATTTAGAGGATGTCATTTGTGGTTTTGTAATATTCACAAAAAACACATTGTGTAACTCACGTATGTTAGCACATATTGGAGATATCTATCCATATGTGTACACCTATTGCTTGAAAATGGTATTGTGATTCAGATGTATTTGGTTACACATTCACGTTGTTTCTGGTGAGGTTTCGGGCACATCTATTGCTATTTATCCATACATAAGAACATGTTAACAGGAATACAGATGTTCACTCACTCTCTTGAGAGGAGGTGGTCAGGTGCTCCAGCAGGTCACATCCAAACACCTTGTCTTTGTTCACTCCTTTCCTCCGATTTCTCCTCATCTCGGCTGTTTCAGTTCACATTCAGACTGGCCGAGCTCTTCTTCAGTGTCTGTCCGTCTGTCTGTCCGTCTGTCTGTCCGTCTGTCTGTCCGTCTGTCTGTCCGTCTGTCTGTCCGTCCGTCTGTCTGTCCGTCTGTCCGTCTGTCTGTCCGTCTGTCTGTCCGTCTGTCTGTCTGTCTGTCTGTCTGTCTGTCTGTCCGTCCGTCCGTCCGTCTGTCTGTCTGTCTGTCTGTCTGTCTGTCTCTCTGTGTGTCTCTCTGTCTCTCTCTCTGTCTCTCTCTCTGTCTGTCCGTCTGTCTGTCTGTCTGTCTGTCTCTCTCTCTGTCTCTCTCTCTGTCTCCCTCTCTGTCTCTCTCTCTGTCCGTCTGTCCGTCTGTCCGTCTGTCTGTCTGTCTGTCTTGTCCAACTCGGTTAACGTGACTCTGTCTTAGTAGAGGCGCTGCACATTTCCCAGATCTAACCGAGCTGCTGCTTCTGTTTCCTTTGCTTCAGTGCATGTTGCTGGCTGCAGGTTGTTTCCTCTGTAGGCCGTGTTGCACTGGAGTTGATACGTTGAAGTGTTAGGACATACTTCCACCCTGCAAAAGTAGAAATATAATAAGTGTCTTCGTGCAAACACCAGCTCAATTCAAACAACAAACTGAACTGAATCCAAAGCATGCATATGTGGCTCTCCACTTCCCCCTGATGCTCTAGTTTTTTTCGAATGAAAGGCCACACCCTTGCGTCTTTACTTCTCCTATTCAGTGGAGTTGGCCTCTGAATGTTTCTCTAATCACACCGTAATGTCTCTCTGTGCTGGTGGATCTATATAAACCTCCACCCTGAGCTCCAGCCTGACGGAGGAGCTACGTTCAGCCCGGTCGTTCCTTCCTCAGCCGCATGTCACAGCCATTGTGGCCCCTTGTTTCACTGCAGCGGAAGTCAACCACTGAACATATAGACTTACACAGACATTCAAACTCAACACCCATCCCCTCCATCTTCCTGACACCTGCCACTGCTCTACTTTTCTCCACCATCATTCTCTATATGTACACTTTTGGAAAAGAGTTTAAAATGTGATGAAATAAAGAAGTTTAAAAGCCAGTGTTCCTACCTTCACTCTGCATCGGCATACAAGCAGCATAAAATGATGACGCAAGAAACCGCTATACTTCCCCTGTTAACTTCCTGAGTGTGTCTCCTTCTCTTGCGCTTTCTCTCTGTGTGTGGCTCACGGTTTCTCCGCCTCTGCTGATTTAGTAGGGAAATCAGTTCAGTGTATCTGTACAAAGCATCTATTTCCCTTTATGTGCAGCGTTTGTCATTGTGTAAAACGACCTTTGTGTGTGATTCTCACCCTGACAGCAGGAATTGGAAAGTACACACATTTAGCCCATTTTCTTTGACTTTGTCAGTGCCATCTACTGCAAACTTAAGCACAACACAAGACCTCAGTGAGTGTTGTAGAAGTATCACAAAGTACCACAAAGGTTCCAGACGTACAAGTACAATGACCCCAAATAATTTCAACATGCTCCAACAACTTGAAAGCATAATAAGTGCCCTGAAAACAAAGAAGTCAAACCACAACACAAACTCAAATGACCACAATTCAGCAAGAAATGTAAGAATCACAGAATACCATTACGTCAAAACTCAATTTCAAGTAAAAGCTGTTGATTTAAAATTCTACTCAGCAAAAGTACACAATAATTATAAGCTCTTATATACTTTAGGTATAACTTCTTTAGTAATTGTATGGTAATGGATTATAAGTAGCTTAAATGTTCAAGTTATCTAACTACATAAGTTAAGTAAGTAGAAAATGTTGTTTGAGCAGAGTGGTGTTTTTTGGCACAAGTTAGTTGGCATCAGTGTTCCATATAGTTTACAATATTGTATCGGATATAATATTAATAATATATATTTAAAACATTGTGTTATTGATAGTCTTTGATAATGTAGTTAACTGAGGCATGTGTGGTACTTTGAGGCTGTACCTGTATACACTCTATACGGGCATAGTTGTCTAATAATGCAGATTTGTTGTTAGTCCATTAATAAATGGTTGTGGCTTTCACCCTTTTCTAATACACTATCAATTACTGTTTCTTTTAGAACCGGGCAATTTAATCTTATTATGGCTTACAACTGATGAATGCTTTATTATAGGTTAATTAGTTCGCCATTAATAACAAATAAACCCCTTATAAGGCTGAATCACTAGAAAGTGGTACAGAGTGAACATTGCATGTATTTATGTTTCGCTCTTTATCGTTGTATAAGCTTATTAATGGCATGTTGATCATGGGCATTTTATGGCATTCATTTTTTTGTTTTTGTATGGTGATTAATTTGAATCTTTTATGTATTTGTATTGTCTTCTGTTGTATCTTATCTTATTTTTGTTTTATTTCTATTTGTATTCCACACACTATCTTGTCTTCTCATTTTGCTGTAACTCCATACCATGTTGATCTTTGTTTTTAATCTGTAAAGCCCACTGAGACAAACGTGTTTTGTGATATTGGGTTGTACAAATAAAGTTTGATGTTTGAATACATGGCTTCAATGTATTGAAGGTGACGTCAAGTTACGGGCATTATACTCAATGATTGAGAACTATTGAAGGTAAAATTGTTGTATGATTAAAATGTTTAAAATATATTGTTTAATTAGCAACTTTGACATAGTTGCAAATATATTTAGTCACCTGAATTCATCGAGTAAACGTGAGTTCCAGTTTCAGCCGCTGGAGTCAAAGTGCACATGTTGTCCAATATTTACGGTATACAGCAAGTGACGATAAGGTGACATTGCTACGGTAACCTCGTTTTGTATTCCAGTACGTCCCTAAGTGGTGGAAATCACTAGAAAATAACACGTTAAAAAAGCATAAACATGATTTTTCTTGTGTCAATTGCATATAATAGTAGATGTGGAAGTGTACGTATAAAAAAATGAATGATTATGTGTGCAACTAAAGCAGAAAGGGAGTGACACCGCCCGTGCGAACCGCGGGGGGATTAAAAACAAGCGATTCTCTCCCTAACAACATCCGCATTAGAAATATACACAAAGCTACAGTGTGTTTCCCACTGCTTTGTAAAGCGATTTGTACACATTCATTTCATTTCTGAGTGACATCTACATCTACAGGTGAGCTTATTTATTTTTATTTCTGACTAAGAAACGATTTGTACACATTAATTATATTGCTGAGTGACATACTGGTATCTAAAGGTGAGCTTATTTATTTATTTATTTTGACTAAGAAGCTGCAGAACATGGAGCACGGCGGCTTCCAGAGCCAGCTGCTGTCCGTCCTGGAGGTCCTGTCCCAAGCGGCCGTGGCGGAGATGGACCGGCGGGTGGAGGACGGCTGCGCGGTGCTGCGGCTGGAGGTGAGCCGTAGTCGGAGGGACATCGAGCTGCTGAAGAGGAGGAGTGAGGGCATGGAGGCCGAGCTGAGGAGGACCAGGGCGAGAGCCAGGAGGAAAGGTGAGGGTTAGGGTTAGGGTTAACCCACTCCCAGTGTTAAGTTGTTATCTGTAGTTTGTGCTTTTAACATGTATTCTTCTTCCTCAGTGTTTTATCCTCCAGCAGCTGACAGATTCTCCCCTGGTGTTAAAGTAGTGTTGAACAGAGAGAGACAGAACACAGACTGGGAGGCTGAGGTTCAAAGTCCAAACCAGCAGGTATGAATAATGCAAAGTGTTACTTTTATTGTTTATGAATCTGCTTGTATTGTTCTTTAAGTGATCATCAATCCCAGTAATTAATAAAATGCCTCCAACAGTTTCACAGGGCCAAATGTTATGTTTAAATAGCTTGTTTTGTCTGGCCAATATATTATATATTGGAATATGTTTTTTTATTTGGACTTAAACAATGAATTGATAACCAAAAGCGTCTTGATCAATTTATTAGCCCAGGAGACATTTCTTTGGTCTTTCTCCAAATGACTACAAAGCATTTCATTGTAAGGATTGTTCAATTGACTTGATGTATGAGGTGTTAACTAACAGTGTATTAATGTAACGTAGAGCCTGGTGTTGCAGTGTGTAGACGTAGAGCCGGCTGATAAACCCATCCTGATCAAAGATGAGAGTGCAGAGGAGGACAACCTGAGTGAGTTCAAACACTTCCTTACTTGCCAACTTTATACATTTAGAAATGTATTTAACATTCTTTAACATCCATCCATCCTTAGTCTCTGAAGTGGAGCAGCCTCCATTTCTCCACGCCTCCGAACATCCCCACGTTGACAGCTTTGCAGAGTGTTATCACTCCTCTGAGACTCCAGCAGACCCCGGACTTCTAGTTTCTGTAATAGACGGATACGACGCTTTCCCAGAGCAGCAGCTGAGCACACACCAAACTGAGGTCGAGCTCGTAGTGAAGCAGGAGGAACAACAACCTGACGAGAACGAGGCTCCTCTTGAATCAGCCCACATATTTGAGGCAGAGGAAGGAGACGGACAGCTGTGGTCGACCAATATGTGCAGAGACGATGTTGGTCCGAGCTTCTCGTATGCTGAGCATCAGTTTGAGACGAATCCCTCTGTGTTCCCGTCTGCATTGGAAGACATGGGGCCTCAAATTCACTCTGTAGGGAAATCACATCCAGTTACAGTGAATGCAGCACGAGTGAAAAGACGAGCAAGGACGTTTGGATGTAAGAGAGCACAACAAGATGAAGGACACTTATCTCACAATAACACCATAGATCAGTGTTTAATTCCTCAGCAATCGCAGCATCAGTTCAGAGACTCGGCCCAGAACGAGGATGTGACGCCTCCGAGCACAACGTCTTCTTTCCGCAGTAACTTCGGCCTGGCGAGGAGGATCAGGACGCCCTGGAGGACGGGCATCGGAGAGAAGAGGTACAGCTGCACGTTCTGCAACAAGATCTTCATGAGGTTCAGTCAGCTGAAGGAGCACCTGAGGAGCCACACGGGGGAGAAGCCCTTCAGCTGCGTGCAGTGCGGACGCAGCTTCACGAAGCAGTGCAACCTGATCCGGCACGCCGTGGTGCACAGCGGGGAGAAACCCTTCCACTGCGCGCTGTGCGGGAAGAGCTTCACGCAGCGCTCCAGCCTCAAGTCGCATCAGAAGACGGCACACTGATGATAATAACACTAATAATAGATTACATTTGTATAGCGCCTTTCAAGGGACCCAAGGCCGCTTTACATGGTGAACATAATAACGTAAGAAATGTAAATCCTTTTTTATTTTAACTAATGCTGTTGATATATCGGGATTTTAAGGGTGTCCATTATCATCTGGCCGGGGACAACAGCTGGAAATTAGCCATGTTGGCTAAAGCTGCTCCATTTACTGTTCTTTGCGACAGTTGATCAATGGGGACTGTCCACGACACTATAAACAAATAAACTACAATGAAATAAGTAGGAGTGGAAGCAGGGGGACTGCGATGGGTTAGGGGTCAAACACGGAGATCACAGGGGGGTATTTTATAAATCCTGTGTTCAGTTACTTCCATGTTTCTTTAAACATCTTGAACCTGGATCTTGGGGATTCGTTAGATACAAAAAAGTTGGGTTATTTGTTCTACATTGCTTTGTTTATAACTGTAAGGGAAAGTTCTGTGTAGCAGCAATGCATTGGGAGTCACCGACTCAGGAAAGAGACACGGCAAGAGCAGGAGCTTTGATGTCAAACACTGATGGTTTATTTGGAGCTTCGGCCGGAGAATTCACATCACAAGTCACAGCAGCCACGATCTGACTGCACGGGAGAGTTGCCACGTCAATTCTGAAGAACTCTACCCCGGACCCATGTATTTAGCTAGTTCAGAGAGCATCATCAACATGCTGCATAACAAGATAGAATCATAACACCTCTATCAGCTGACGCCAACAGGCAGGAACAGGGAGACAGAACACTGAGAGCACAGCAGCCAAGGTTACGAGGTGCGTGTGCTCAGTCAGGACAGTTTGAACTGATAAACTGGGTCAAAGTTATGGGCCTTGTAAAATATTCCCCAACAATAAACTGTTTTTTATTCTTTGTCATTTTGATGCAAGATACTAGTCTGGAATCATAATGATAATCAAGCGAGTAGTTCTGTATTCAAGATTCAAAGGTTTATCGTCATATACACAGCTACGGTAATTATGTAATGTATGAAAAACTTAGATCGCAGGTTCCTCAACAGTGCGATGAACAGGGACGAACTGTCCCTCAGTCAGGTGGTCTTTGTATGGTCCCAAGTTTAACTAAAAATCATAACTGGGTTTAATTTAAGTTATTTCCTACCAATCCAGGCACTAGCGTCCATTTGTTGTTATTGGACTCTTTAACTTCACATGTAGGGGTGGTGGTGGCGAAGTCCATAGGGATTGGCTTGGCAACTGGAAGGTCACCAGTTCAAGTCCCGGAAAGACCAAGTGCTACCGAGGTGTCTCCACTGCTCCCCGGGCGCCGTACATAATGGCAGCCCACTGCTCCTAACACTAGGATGGGTCAAATGCAGAGAAACCATTTTGTTACATAGAACCTGTTATGAACCCGTAATGACAATAAGTTGAATCTTCAATGGTGCGATCTATCACAATGAACACTTAGTCTGTTTTTCTGTTTTTAAGTATTCACTCGGTACCTCCTAACTTAAATGTCTGCAAAAAATGTCGGTCAAAGATTGATTTCGCTGCCTGAAACTGGAGGGAAGATACAAATGAACGTTAATCACAGTTAATGGTAAGAAATATTATATCTGATTTGTAGAAAATGCCTCAAAACCTCTGGTATGGTCTATTAAATGTGAATCTCCCTATTTAGAAAGGCTCAGTTAAATAAGCACTGAAGGAATGCTCTTATCATGGTGGTCTTGTTAACTACAATATTAACACTGCTAATATTTTTGTAACAAAAGACATCTTGTGTATAAAAATCTTTGGAAAAGCACCAACAGTCATCTTGTCCCATTGTATTGTAAGAGTGCTTTGTTTGACATGTTGGGTTGTTGTGACATATATACAGTGGGGCAAAAAAGTATTTAGTCAGCCACCAATTGTGCAAGTTCTCCCACTTAAAAAGATGAGAGGCCTGTCATTTTTTTTTAAAGAATTTATTTGCAAATTATGGTGGAAAATAAGTATTTGGTCAATAACAAAAGTTCATCTCAATACTTTGTTATATACCCTTTGTTGGCAATGACAGAGGTCAAACGTTTTCTGTAAGTCTTCACAAGGTGTTCACACACTGTTGCTGGTATTTTGGCCCATTCCTCCATGCAGATCTCCTCTAGAGCAGTGATGTTTTGGGGCTGTCGCTGGGCAACACGGACTTTCAACTCCCTCCAAAGATTTTCTATGGGGTTGAGATCTGGAGACTGGCTAGGCCACTCCAGGACCTTGAAATGCTTCTTACGAAGCCACTCCTTCGTTGCCCGGGCGGTGTGTTTGGGATCATTGTCATGCTGAAAGACCCAGCCACGTTTCATCTTCAATGCCCTTGCTGATGGAAGGAGGGTGTCACTCAAAATCTCACGATACATGGCCCCATTCATTCTTTCCTTTACACGGATCAGTCGTCCTGGTCCCTTTGCAGAAAAACAGCCCCAAAGCATGATGTTTCCACCCCCATGTTTCACAGTAGGTGTTCTTTGGATGCAACTCAGCATTCTTTCTCCTCCAAACACGTCTAGTTGAGTTTTTACCAAAAAGTTCTATTTTGGTTTCATCTGACCATATGACATTCTCCCAATCCTCTTCTGGATCATCTAAATGCTCTCTAGCAAACTTCAGACGGGCCTGGACATGTACTGGCTTAAGCAGGGGGACACGTCTGGCACTGCAGGATTTGAGTCCCTGGCGGCGTAGTGTGTTACTGATGGTAGCCTTTGTTACTTTGGTCCCAGCTCTCTGCAGGTCATTGACGGTCCCCCCCGTGTGGTTCTGGGATTTTTGCTCACCGTTCTTGTGATCATTTTGACCCCACGGGGTGAGATCTTGCGTGGAGCCCCAGATCGAGGGAGATTATCAGTGGTCTTGTATGTCTTCCATTTTCTAATAATTGCTCCCACAGTTGATTTCTTCACACCAAGCTGCTTACCTATTGCAGATTCAGTCTTCCCAGCCTGGTGCAGGTCTACAATTTTGTTTCTGGTGTCCTTTGACAGCTCTTTAGTCTTGGCCATAGTGGAGTTTGGAGTGTGACTGTTTGAGGTTGTGGACAGGTGTCTTTTATACTGATAACGAGTTCAAACAGGTGCCATTAATACAGTTAACGAGTGGAGGACAGAGGAGGCTCTTAAAGAAGAAGTTACAGGTCTGTGAGAGCCAGAAATCTTGTTTGTTTGTAGGTGACCAAATACTTATTTTACCGAGGAATTGACCAATGAATTCATTAAAAATCCTACAATGTGATTTCCTGGATTCTTTCCCCCCATTCTGTCTCTCATAGTTGAAGTGTACCTAGGATGAAAATTACAGGCCTCTCATCTTTTTAAGTGGGAGAACTTGCACAATTGGTGGCTGACTAAATACTTTTTTGCCCCACTGTATGTGTGGATATACTTAATAGGAAAAAGCAAAGATAAATACTTAAATTCTAAGTTATTTGAAGTAATTTGACAATAAGGAAGTCACGTGGTTAGGTGTGCCCATGTTAAACCAAACCTAAACCGACCGAAGATCTTGAAAAAATCTTTTTATTTTTGAGTGCGTTGAAGAATCGAACGAGACACAAAGAAAACTCAGAGCAGTTGTTGTTATTCGATCAGCAAAGACATTTCAATCTGTATTTATGAAGGCAGGTAACACAAACTTTTTACACAAATATACAAAGGTAAGACATTAAAAATGTTTTCTCATAAATATCAAATTAGATCCTTTATACTGTAATACAGTGTCATATAAAGTTACATTGGTTGCATAGAAAAGTAGTGACAAGTAGTTCAGAGGAGATCGCTGTACAAGTGCATTTAGATCCTATTGAAGAGAAGATCAGCAGAACGTAAGGAGAACATGTTTAACAAATATAGATTTATAACTGTCATTAGATTACACGCTGAAGACCAATGAGACCGAGTGAGGACAGGAGAGTGTATCTGAGATATTCACTGGAGTGGATTTAATAACAGATTGAACCGATGGTCAACAGCTTCAACATTAGAGTGTGTCAACATCTGTAAGAGATTTAGCTTCAGTTTGGAAAAGGGCTTCAATTAGAAAAATACACATTTCATTTTAGGTCAAATATTGCCACTAGAACTGACGTACCGCTTTCAGGTTGAAACTCAAACAGGTGCATTTACTTAGTACTAATCATTTGTGATGAAAGACACATTTTAGATACTAAATACTATTAGGTTTTTGCTCACAACAAAGTGGAAAACTTGACATCAGAAACACCTGAATGGGCTTTTTACTTTGAATTCAAATATGATTAATCCAACCCGAGCTGTATTCTGTGAGGCTGAGTCATCTGCTTTATTTTAAAGTAAAATGACTCGAGTTTTTAGGAAGGACATTCTTTTGTTTCTTTGAGATAAAAAGAAGGGATTAAACCCAATGGAGTGTGTGTGTGTACATTTTGACCTCATCTATGAGGGAGGACATATTGAAGAGTCCGAAAGCCTCTCCTCATCCATCTGCCTGTCTTATAAAACTGTTTTAGGACACGTTTGCAGCACCTCCACACTGTAAATCATCTTAAGTCGTCTTTATTATAAGTTTCATCCAAGATTGAATTTCCATCTCTAATAAGTACCTACTGTCTGTACGTTGGGACGATGCAGCTTTAAGGGAAAAACAACATTAAGGGGTAATAACAGCATGAGGGCAAATTGAATTTGAAAC